TAAAGGGGCTGTTACCACTTAGTCTGGGATTCTCGGACGGGATGACTGGATGAAGTTAACACCACCCCCTCCCATCCGCGATTGCACAAATAATGGTGCATTAGGAAGTGTCTACGTATTACACAAGGAATTCGTGTAGAACATTTTTCCAAAAACGCAAACGGGGAGAGCGAGTCGATGGAACAACCTGGCATACTCAAAGGAACTGTGATAGGCAGACTGTACACAGTGCATCCCAATCAGGACGAATACTTCTTCCATCGCACGCTGTTGGCAAATGTGGCAGGCTGTCCAACGTCTTTTCAGCAATTGAGCATTGTCAACGGCGTTATACATGTCACTTTCCGCAGTGCGTGTCCGGTTCTATTGGAAAGCCGCCTACACTAGGATGTATGCATTAATGACACGAGCAACACGCTCCATCCACATCAAATTCGTGTATTTGCAATCATATTGACCTCCTGTTCATCCTCGCCGGCAGAATTGCGGGAGAAATAGAAACTTGAAGAAGAAGAAGAAGAAGAAGAAGAAGAAGAAGAAGAAGAAGAAGAAGGTGGGCTTACCGGAACAGGTTTATTAGGATGCTGACGTTTCGAAGAGCTTGGTCGGCTCTCCATTGTCAAAGCGTAAAATGCACTCAATCCACCAGAGATCCCAAGTGGCGTGTCACGTTGGGCGGCCTCCTGCTGGTCGATTTTTTCTCTCTCTCCTCTCGCTGTCGCGGCCTCTCAGGGGATGGTTGACTGGTGTTTTGTCTGCGTGCATTGTGAGTCACCATTCCGCCGGTGGGGGGAGGTGACTGAACCAGTGTCGGGTGGGCGGTCTGGCGGTTCTTCTTCTTCTTCTTCTTCTTCTTCTTCTTCTTCACCAGTCAACCATCCCCTGATAGGCCGCGACAGCGAGAGGAGAGAGAGAGAGAAAAAATCGACCAGCAGGAGGCCGTCCAACGTGACACGCCACTTGGGATCTCTGGTGGATTGAGTGCATTTTACGCTTTGACAATGGAGAGCCGACCAAGCTCTTCGAAACGTCAGCATCCTAATAAACCTGTTCCGGTGAGCCCACCTTCTTCTTCTTCAAATAATCAACCCGGATCTCTCAACTTTGCCAATCTGAACAGAAATAGAAACTGCACATGGCTGAAGATACCTTCCATCTACTATGCAAGGACAATTCAAATGTGGATTTCACAGCAGAAAACTGCAACGAGGCGTTAATGAGGATTGAGGATATGTGCGTGGAAATCACGAACAAAGTTCCCAATTAACTGGGAATGCCATGACCAAACCAATCTGCTGCTGTTGCTGCTGCTGCTGCTGCTGCTGCTGCTGCTGCTGCTGCTGCTGCTGCTGCTGCTGCTGCTGCTGCTGCTGCTGCTGCTGCTGCTGCTGCTGCTGCTGCTGCTGCTGCTGCTGCTGCTGCTGCTGCTGCCAACATTGGAGCAGAATGGCATTTACGAGCAAATGATGCGAACTGTCAATAACGGGGTTGAAGGAATCTTCTTCTGAAATGTGCTAGGAGGGACTGGGAAAAAGTTCCTAATAAGAATGATTTTGACAGCAATATGATCCAAAAATGACATAGCCTTAGCACTTGTATTCTCCGGAATAGCTGCAACCCTGCTACCCGGCGAAAGGATCGCTCATTCTACTTTGAAATTGCCGTTGAACGTGCAATTCATTGAAACTCCCACGTACAGCATTTCCAAGGCATCCGGCACGGGAAAAGTACTGCAGAAACGCAAACTTAATGTTTGAGTTAAATGCACATTGGCTCGAGGCCCACGATGGAACACTGCAAGATTTGCGCGGAAACAACAAACCATTTGGGGATATGCTTCTACTGCTTGCAGGAGACTTCAGGCAAACACTGCCTGACGGAATAAAGGCCTGGCTAAAATGCTCTACGTTGTAGCGCCGCGTCCAGACGTTAAAATCAACTACACATACGCGTGTCCAGCTGAAAACCGACCGATCAGCTGAAATATTCTTACACAAATTGCCGGCAATTGGGAACGGAGCGGTGCCGGTTGATCCGTCTTCGGGACGCATTTCACCACCTCTTATCCTCGGCAATTTAGTGTCGTCGAAAGCGGAGTTGCTTGAAAAGGTATTTTCCAATATTCAAACCAATTATATGAATCACGACTGGCTGAGCCAACGAGCTATTCTTACGGCAAAGAACAAAGAAGTCTAACTAATTAACCATATTATTCAGTCTAAGATTCAACGCGAGACCGTCACATACACGTCCGTCGACACTGCGGTGTAAGCAGACGAGCCAATTAATTATCTCACAGAATTTTCGAATTCACTTGATCTGCCAGGGACGCCGCACGTTCTGCAATCGAAAATCGGCGTGCCGATTTTCACGTTACGTAATATCAACCAGCCGAAACAAAGACAGTCAGCTCATGAGGGATGCAGGACTGTTTGCCCCCCGGGCGACAGAAGGTGCGTGAAGATGCAGTCTGCCTGATGGCTTGGCAGGTGGCAGGGATGTGAAATAAGCAGGCTGAATAAACCCCCGCTGAGCATGCAGCGGTATGAATGGCGACCGTTCTGACCAATCGTTGCCCACCAAAGGGTCACAAGGCGGCATTACTACGATGTGCCTAATGGGCCAGGTGCCACGGTAAACTGTCCGCCCACGAGGTCGCCTCATACGACTACAGTAGTTGGGCTAACTCATGAAATGTCAACCGAAATTCCGAACTGCGTTTTCGTTTCGAAAAAATTAATTAAGTAGGGTTGGAAAACCTAATCAACCCGCAAAATAATTCTATTATATTTCAGTTACCTCAGGATGCTGGTTTTCGAATGAACTTCTTTCCGGCTGCATCCAAAACTCATACTCCGTAAAAAATGACTACCTCGGTGCATGAATTTTCTCATTGATTTTCGATGCCCCTAAAAGTCCAATTATATTTTATGAAAAGCGTGCATAAAAATATTCAAATTTTTTCTCATTCGGTAGATAATTACGTCTTCTTCCAATCTTATACTCGGAGGAAGGGTATAATTCGGTTTCCAAAAATGTTTTCCAATTCCCGAATACTTTTGAAGCCGCTCTACCATTACACTTGGATTCAGGGTTTCCAAACTACAGGCCGTATATTTTCCGCGTACGGAAAAGCGCAAACTCCTCTACGGTACTAAAGGGGGACCAAATAGGGTTCATAAGATTAAGCAGTGGATTTGATCCATATTGTTAAGTTTACAAGCCACATTGGTAAATGATGAGACAGGAAATTAATGAACGGCCATTTCACGATATTTAAAAGTCTCACAATTAGAAACATTTTAAAACCGAATTATGTCCTTATTTCGAGTATAGAATGAAAAGAAGACGTAATTTCTACCGAATGAGCAAAAGAATGAATATTTTTATTTATGTTTTCCATGAAATATAATTGAACTCTTAGGGGCATCGAAAATCAATGGGAAAAATTCATGCTACACAAGTAGTCATTTTTTGCAGAGTGTAGTTTCTACATACAGCTGGAAAGAAGTCCATTCGAAAGCCGGCATCCTGAGGTAACTAAATTATTATAGAATTATGTTTCAGGCTGACTAGTTTTACAACCCTACTTAATTAATCTTTTCGAAACGAAAACGCATTTCGGAATTTCGGTTAACATTTCATGTGTTTGCCCACCTACTGTACTTTTTGGTGAGTCAAGGCTAACGCGGCCTGCTGGGCATCCCGAGGACCGTAGTCTCCTCTAGTACCGAGCACCGGGAGGCGCGATGTTTCTCTCAACAACAAGGCAGCGGCAGCAGCAACAGATAACTTGTGACTGTCTCTGACGCCTTAGAGCAGGTCGGTTCAACAAGCATAGTGGTATGAGTTAGTTAAGTCTGTGGTAGGGGGCGCTCACCGATCGTTCATACGGAACTCACTCGTTCCGTTGTGCCTTAAGAGCTCTCTCTCGAGCCCAACCAGCAGCCGCACAGCGGCGCATGATACATAGGCAGAATACTATTACCGACAAAGACAAGGGAGACTGGAATGGCCATTTCTGGCTTATTAGCCGTCGTCAGCCAGCCATACCCAAGCCCGAAGTGTGGAACACCCGAGCCTCGAACTCGCGCCCCTACCACTGTATATTCCCGATCGAAAACCGACAAGGCAACGGGCTCGTGGCCCGGTGAGTAGAGGCGTTGACTTCTAAACCAACAGGTCGCGAGTTCGAGGCTCGGGTGTTCCACACTTCGGGCTTGGGTATGGCTGGCTGACGACGGCTAATAAGCCAGAAATGGCCATTCCAGTCTCCCTTGTCTTTGTCGGTAATGTTATTCTGCCTTAGTTAAGTCTAACCCTTCGTATGTCCCACAGACGCAATGTTCGCGAAATACGCCTGACGGCGCGGTTGATTTTTTCTGCACCTCATTCCTCCCATCACGTGCTGCTACCGACTTTTTGTGCCTCAGCCGTCAACGCCTGCTCTACCAGTACGGTACTGCCCTAAACGCGGAGAACTCGCTCGCACAGAAGCCTATAGCGCGTTGGTTGCTGATTGAGGCGCAAGGTTTGGCTGGCTTCCGAACCGATGGACAGAACCGAAACAATAAGTGAGACCAGACGCGTAAACAAAACTCCTGGAGGACTGTAGTGCTCTAAACAGGACTATTGAGGAATAATTTGTTTGAGGCGCGGACGCCTGTTTGGACATTTTTTTTTCACGTCTTCTATGAATTGGGCTGCCCTGTCTCAGAGGAAGTTTGACTGTTCGAAGAATGTTCCTTTGAATTGCGCCCAATCCGGTCTGATACTATCCATCGGCTTTTTCAACATGGTTGGAGGTTAGTAAGGGCAGGGAGAGCAAACAGCATTTACTTCAGCCTGTTACAAGGGCATTTATCCTGGCTTCCGTCTGGGTATTTATCTTCGCTTGTATGCCCTTAAGCCAGGTTGGCTCATCTATCGCCCTTCGCTTGTCATGGCATCTAACAAGCAGCTATTGCCTGTCACCATGTTTTAGGGTGACACAAAACAACTGACGCATTGAAGCTCGCCACGATCTAAAGGTAATTTCTGGTGCTTAAATACTGCTAACTGCGTTTGAGCAGCCGCTTTTGTTTTTCCCTAACTTATGCCGCTCGTACCTATGCGACCCTCTGCAAGGAAGTTGTTATGAGTTCCAGAAAAAATGGAGCGAGTATGCTTTCCAATGTCACCGAATTGAGGAAGAGTCACTTGTTTCCTACGGAACTCACTCGTCCCGTTGTGTCTTACGCGCTCTCTCGCTCTGGAACCAAACCATCAGCCGCACGATCGGTGAGCGCCTCTCTACCATTGTACATTCCTGATTGCAATTGACAGGACAACGAGCCCCTAGCTCAGTGGTTAGAGGCGTTGGGCTTCTAACCAACAGGTCGCGGGATCGAGCCCCAGGGGTTTCGCACTTCGGGGTTGGGTATGACTGGCAGCCGACGGCAAATAAGCCAGAAATAGCTATTTCGCTCTCCCTTTTCTTTGTCGGTTATAACATTTTACATATATATATATATATATATATATATATATATATATATATCAATCAGGAATGGGCGCACACAGATCTATTGGCTTCACAAAGCAAACAAGCTCCGTATGTGTGGCAAAGGTCAGGAACAGGCAACCAATTACCAGGCCGAAGTCGGCCAAGTCATAATAGCAGCGAGGAGGGACGACAGAGAATGCGGGTAGATTGATACAGCACTGTTTCGGGCTTATTCTGCCTTCATTCAGCCAATCATAACCCTGACCACAAGCAGCTGGGACCAGAAACACAAACATGCGCACAGACGCACCTGGCGCAGTCGGTCCACCACTGAGGCCTACCAGATGGGTCATAAGCACTTCATCGAACCGAAGTTCATCAGTGCCTCGCCACCTGTCATTCTCTGTCGCTGCAGATCGGGTATGTATCAATCAGGAATGGGCGCACACCGATCTATTGGCTTCACAAAGCAAACAAGCTCTGTATGTGTGGCAAAGGTCACGAACAGGCGGGATCGAACCTCAGGTGTTTTGCACTTCGGGATTGGGTATGACTGGCTGAATGAAGGCAGAATAAGCCCGAAACAGTGCTGTATCAATCTACCCGCATTCTCTGTCGTCCCTCCTCGCTGCTATATATATATATATATATATATATGCATGTCAAGTGGGCGTTTGACTCTCACTGTTGTGGTTAGGATCTCACTCGATCCCATTCTGTCCGCCCGCCAGCTAGCTACTGGCGACAACGAACGCTGTGTCAGAGGACACATACCACATATAATACATGAGCAGCTCGCTAAGAGTGCAACAGGCCAGACGCAGACAGCTGTTTCACGGTCGTTACCGATCATCAGTACGTCATAGGCCTTATGAAGTGAGGTATAGAAGCATGTCAAGTGGGCGTTTGACTCTCACATCTGTCTGCGTCTGGCCTGTTGCACTCTTAGCGAGCTGCTCATGTATTATATATATATATATATAATCAGGAATGGGAGCACACCGATCTGTTTGCTTCCAGAAGCAAATAAGCTCCGTAAGGGTGGCAAAGGTTACGAACAGGCAATCAACTACCAGGCCGACGTCGGTCAAGGTATAATGGCAGCGAGGAGCGAAGCAAATAGATCGATTGAAAAAATACTCGAATTGCAACGACAGAGGATAATAGCTGGTGAGGGACTGATGAACTTTGTTTCGATAAAGTGCTACTAGCTTAGTGCTCCGGCTGGCAACCAGCAGAGCGACAATGACGCGGTTTACTGGTAACACAGTTGACTCTGCAGTCGGTGGACATCCAGGCTTCTTGCACTTGCCTAGTGCCTGGGGATCTATGAAGCTGGGCCAGAACCCAGCTCCCTTCTACCTTGAGGTGGATGACTGCTGCCCATTCCCCGCACCTGTCAACTGATCGGCTCGGACAGTGACTGGGGCCTGGGAATGCGAAGGGAGAGTGAGGTCGACCGTTCAGCGCATTTTCCTCCTCACTATCTGACGCGCTCGAAGTTATCACGGTGCGCTAAAAGCCGTGGCTTGGAAGGTTGCCAACTGACGGGATAACTCGGACCTCGCAATCGGCCCAGTGTTGTGTTTGTCTGTGGAGTGGCCGGCTGGTGGTCTAAGAGTCAGACTGCAATGGCTCCTTCTTAATGTGGCCTTTATTGCTCTCCCACTCCGCAGGATCCGAGCCAGGAGTGACGGCACGCCTAAGTGCGCCTTCGACCGTGCCCTTGTGTTGTTGGTTAAAATCCTGGTCATTTGCTGTGTGTTAGCAGGGGGTGTGGAGTGGGACACCAGAGTGCAGGCGCGGTCGTGCCATCCACTTGCGCCTTCCCCCGCCCGCGGTCTTCTGTGCTCTGCCTTGACACCGGGTCCTGGTGGGGGAAAAGAAGAGAGTGGGTTGGATGCTGTGCAACTCTACATTCACTATAAGTTGAACCTCGCACAGGTCACGGTCCCTGCTCTCAACTTGCTGTGGAGTAAACCGTGGACATCGTCAGCAACGACGGTCGAACTGTCGGATGACTGGTAGGTCAGAAATAACCATTCCGTGGCGGGGTACTCCGCGTGGCGATACAGACCGAGCCCTCCTTATCATTTGACCGTTTGCTCCGCGTACGAATTAACCCTTCAGTTTGATGATACCTTAACCCGGTTGATATTTTGATCACAAATGATTGGCCGCAATCGGACATGACGCAGGTGCACAGGTACACCTCGCGCGGACAACGTCTGGCTCTCAGCTTGGTTGCTGCCGCTATCTCCTGAGCCATCTTTACTCTCCCGGCGTCGCAGTTAAGATTTCCCTACTAATTCATCCCCTCTAGTTCTTGCTTTTGGAAACTTATCGCTGTGGAGCCATCGCATCTCAGCAATTCCAGTCTCTCTCCTCTTTGTCGGTATTTATTCTATCTGTATTGCTTATCGCTATGGGACCGCACAGCAGCCGTCTAGACCTAACATCAAAGCCAATCCGAAGGGATCGGTTTTCTCGCATTCTTGGAGCACCAGCTTCCGTGTTCGTTTGCTGTCGCCTAGTAAAATATGCCTCCAAGCTAACAAAATCTCTACTGACCGGCAGGTCTGCAAACATTAGTAGGGGCATGCGTAAACTGCGGCTAACTTCCTGGCTGTCAGTCTCCAGCCAAAGGGGCCTATCTAAATGGCTATGGTTGTGCCTGGCGATATGACAGTTTTTAAGTCTCGGGTCACGCTATGAGGGGGGAGGAAGGAAGGGAGGCATGTGCTTTGTTTTGAAAGCATACATTCCAAGTTTGCAGCAGAAGGGACTCCATTTACTGTGGACAGGAGGTAAGTTAACAGACTAGGAAAGAGTCAAAAAGGTGTATACAAATGGGAACATCTATCACAGGGACAGTTCAAGTTCCAGTTTCTGTATTTCGCATATAAGACAGCGTGCCAGTATGAGTAGTGCAGAGTGCTGATACGCCGATGTACGATGAGAGATATGTCGAAAGCCACGGCGCATGGGGCGGGAGGACTTCGCAACAATCAGTTCAGAATGAAGGGGATAGACAACATCATCCAGAATCCGACCAGAAAATGGCTCGACCGTTTTGAAATGTTGTAGACTAAAAAGACATAAGAAACACCGGCAGTGGAAGAGGGCATTCAGAAGACTCGTCTGGAAATTAGCATATGCATATTTGTAAATCAAAGCAGAAAAAGTAACAGGAACTCAATAAAGCATGAGAGGAAGAATGCAGGCATCGATGAATTCCCTGATTAAGGTTTGAGATGTGTGATAGAAAGGTAAACGACGAATGTAATGAAGAAGTTTACGAAGTTTAGTGAAAAGGGACTCAATATGGAGGGAAAATGAAGATATAATGACAAAGTAACACCTAGGCACCTGAAAGAGGATACTTCGTTTGGAAGGACATCCAAGGGCTCAGGACTAGGAGGGAGTCGCAGTCGTGATAAACACCGGATTGATTTCTGTTTATTCAGTAGGAGACCATTTTCCGATGACTATGCTGAGACATGGTGAAGGCCATCCTTCAGATGCTGGAGATGAGTCTGATTTTCGGGAGTGTGACCAACAACCATATCGTCCGATTACTTAACAAACAGAGCAACTCGGTCAGCAAGCTTCAGCAGCGCGGAGGAGCAGGCAATTGGACGAAGAGATCTAGGACCAAAATATGTGGGTGTTTTAAGGATACGAGTGATTCTCACTGTACGCCGGGAGTCGTAAAACCTTTGTCTCCATGAAAGGCATGCTAAGACAATGTGTCAAAACAGGGCTATCTGAGAACAGCAAGATTTTAGGAGAAAAGGTGAGGCACCATCCGGCCCAACAGCTGTTAATCCGCGGATCCTTTTAAGCTGTTTTCTACTGTTGCCACAGATACAGTTGAGAAGGCCCATGGTGGTAGAGAAATGCCTTTTGAACGAAGAAGGTAATCCTTGTGACTAAACTAAAATATTTGTTTAAAGAGTCGAAATCAGCATACATATGTTCCGGTGTGCTATGATAGCCAGTGAGACGCTTAACATTCATCTAGATTTCAGCAGAGGAATGAGGAGATGAAGGGCAGCAGAAAGGGACAAAAAGCTGACTAACAAACAGATCGTTCATTTTGCCTTGTTTAATTTCCGAGGAAGTTAATACGCGAACTTGGAAAAAATCTTTCGGAACAGACCTTTTAAGACACGGTCTGAGATTTGATATGACTATTTGAGCTAAAATCCATCAGCTGCTGAGCAATAACCACGCAATACTCATAAACCGCTAACAGGCAGCCAGTAGTATATAATTGTGTAATTTACCGTACTAACAACAACACAGGTATTAGCTAATACCTCAAGTAGCACCCCAGCTCAAGTCCACAATTGCGATATCCCTTCCTTCCCTCTTTAATGCAGTCCCTTTGGTCTGTGCATAGTTCAGCCTGTATGCTGCGAGCTTAGTCCCACACAATCAGTCACAAAACACCTGTAGTCAAATCGACTAACATTTGAACAACTGACGGCAGTATAATGGCTGGACAATGGCTAAGCTGCAGCTTCAGCTAATCCCCGCTGACGCCCCCCAAAGTTAAACATTGTTCCACGGAAGTGGCCCCACGTGGGACAAAGGATAACACAGGCGCCTGGTTCAAGGGCATTATTGATTGCCTGTACACCCCAACCATCTTCCTTTTACGCAAATCCTGTCTGTCTGATTTAGGAATCAAAGGCATAGACCAGTTCGCAAGGTCATTTTTTTCGGTTTGACATTTGATGGGCACAAACTCTGTGCTCCACTTTGCAACTTGGCTGGATATCCAATCTTTCCGCACCCCTGACTCCCGGCACATAGCATCAACGCTAATAAAACCTATCTGATATCCAGAGTAATTATCTGTATTATACAGAAGTATTTCTTTAATGCGCTCTTCTAATTGCATGCCTAGTTCCAACCGATCTGATAATCGTGTGTGTCGGCTTTTCTCACGACCATACAGAAGTCGAGGTGCATCGATTATGTCTGATAGCTGCATATACGTCTTGTCTGTTTGCGAGATGACGCCAATCCAATTAGACAGAAACTCCGAGCAGAGACTCTTATGCTCTTAGATCGGGCGCTTTCGGCGGTCGGACATACTCAACCCCCTTCAAAGTGGCCTCTTCAAAGAGTACTTCGCTGAGCGATGCAGTGATTACTGCGTCTAACAAACTCTGCAGCGGTGCGATCTAGACAGGCTTTTTAGCGAACTGCCTCACCCTACCCCTGGATTGGAACGCGGATATCAACCAGCCCGTATTGGAATCTACCTCCATTTGTTAGGACGAATAACATGCACAGAGGCTGCGCTACTGCGTTAGACATAAATGGGAATCACTAATGCGTG